ACACACACACACACACACACACACACACACACACACACACACACACATGAATCTATGGGGTGAATTTGTATTTGCAGATACATTTTATTTTGTTCGAAAAGCACACAATATATAGGCAGTCAGTCGATGTGGCATTTTATCAATTCCTACTTTAAAACCAGTCTGACTCCAAACTAAAACACAAACAGATTCTAAACAAAGCCTCACACCTAACATGCATTGCCTGAACTAAAATGTCACATCTTCTTTAACTGATAAAACTTTTAGTTCTCTCAGGACCATGACTTGAAAGGAATTCAGGGATTTACATATACATATTAATCAATTAAAACTTACTAACTGATTAAAGGTTTAACAGAATCTTGGGTTTGTTTAGTACATCCTCATCAATGGTGCGAACCTTCGATCTTTTACTTATAAATCCGTGTCTGATACTATGCCTCTCACTAATACTTGAAGAAGGAGTGAAGCTCTGAAAGCTTGTGTTTTCAAATAAACCTGTTGGACTATAACCTGGTGTCATGTGATTTCTGACCCCATCTACCCCAGTCCAACACCAGCACCTCCACATCAGGGATGAATGGAGACAACCTATCCTCGCACAAGAAACAGACTGATCATTTTGAATATAATAGTGAGTCTATGTGGCTTCACTTTGAGTCATTAAATTTTCAACCCGAGGCACTCGGGTTTCCCTGACCTGGGAAATGCAGAAGCTGAAAGGAGAATTGAAAGGTTGAATCCATGAGGCAAGTGCTTTTCCAGCATTGCTTGCTGGCAACAGAGAAGTGAAGACCTAGCAACCCCACTCTAACTGCAAGGAGCCAGATTTTAGTGCAGGAGGTGGGAAATTTATGTGAGGAAGCCTCTTGACTGGACAAATCTTTCATTTAAAGGAGCCCTCACTTATCACTCTTTCATTCTGGGGACGACAGGTCGGGATGGATTTGGATCTGCCACCTCGGTAGAGAGCTTAGAGATGGCCACACATTGTAGTTGGTTGATGAGAGTGGCTGGTTAGAAGCCCTATCACAGTTCTCTGGGACTTTAGTACCATTGTATTAAAGGCTGTTAGGTCCTCTAATCCTCATACCTTCTCTCAGCCAATCCTGTCCCCATTTTCCCTCATAACCCCATGTCACCTCCCATCTCCCATTCCTCTTCCATACTTCTGCACATTACCATTGCCATCCTTGTGTCATCTCCATGCTTCCTCATACCACACATCCATTAGCAATTGGCACTCTGTATCCACAATTGGCAGACCTCAGGAGTTATGTAGATATGGAACAAATAAACTTCTGACAATCCAATGAATTTCTCACTCAAGCGCATTCAATTATGAAAATAATGTCATTCATGAAACCCATTCATACATGTAAATTGCTCATGTGGTCAATTTGTTGTAAAACCAAGCATCTATTTCCCTAACTGCATCAAATCCTTTAATAAGCTCTTAAAACTATCAATCAAAATGTCTATACAGTCATCTGGTGAGATGAGTGGTTTTAAACCTTTTGCAACTCCACATAATGGGCTCAGGAAGAATAACAAACGTTACAAGTGTAAACAATAGATTATTGACAATTGAAATTACAAAAACAAATGTTTTTTTTAAGAAGCTACGGTAGATGGTCTGTCAATCAATGCACTCAGCAGTGAGTGACTTTTTCTAATCTAACTAAAAACTACAAGTCTTTCTGTTCCACTTTAAAGGGCTGGTGATTTAAGTGACTCCAGATCACCACACTGAAACAGACAGTGAATCTACCCTTCACAAATATTTGCATCTCCTCCACAGAATGGTTTTCCCACATTGCAGGTTCAGGCTATTACAGGGTAGAACAGGTAACTGAACTATTTTTGTTAGACGAAGTTATGTTATGTGCAGAATTAGAGGATGGATCTTCACAATTAAAGGCAACAGTTCTTCATTTATTGGATAAGCAGCATGCATTACAAATACCTTGTAGTTTCTTCCTTGTTCCCGTGGACTTCTTGTGCCATATTGATCCTTTCCCTCAAGCAATTGATCTCCACATCAATACTCCTGGGATCTCGAGTGACTTCTAATCGCTGCACACAAATCCGCCTGGCTTTAGCAGTATCTCGCTGGAATAAACAAGAACATAAGAAGTTAGATAGTCATACCCAACTCATCTACAAGGACATGACAGACACAATATTTTCAAGAAGAAGCAAAATACAAAAGCACTTTAATTATAATTCAACAAATGCAAGTATAGTTAGTTTGCTTATCATATAGGACAGAAATAGCAAGTGGTACTTGGAACATTTTGCTGAATGGATGTGTGTTTCAGACAGTCCACCATAATCTACATCTAATTTCATATTAGTTGGGGAATATATAACTCTTTGTGAGTAAAGGTAGACAGTTTGAGTTGTATATTTCTCTCAGAATCTCTTCTTAGTTGAGCAACCATTGAAAAATTGATGAATCCAGCCCAATAATTTCCTGTTTCACCAGCACTGGTGTTAATTTCATTTTAAACTTCCATCTAAGCTCCCAGTGATCAAAATCAGTCTGTGCAGAAAATGAGACTGATGGAACTATATTAAATGCTAGGAAATAGGCAGGTTTGGGTTGGCTGCCCATTTTATACTGATCCTAAATTTAGTCTCCATCGAAGTCAAGGGTGTATATAAAAGGAGACAACTGACCTGATCCAACCCAACTCCCATGCGGTGCTTCAGTGAAAGTTATATCTGAAAACCAGCTAGAACTGGCATCATTAGGGTGAGTTACCATTCGGGTATCACTGCTGTGAAGGAGTGGAGCACTGTCTGATGGGTATACACTGAATCACAATGATTAGCTTTGTATTGTTGATCCTCATCTGATAGAAGGGTGACGGATTTTATATTGAGTGCTAGTCATGTTCACTAACCCAATGTGTACAGCAGCTGTGATGAGTGCAGATGGCCCAAAGTTCATACCACAGCCCATTTAACATGACCCAGCTTTGCTGAGTGCAAGACTATTACCGATAGATGAGCATTTGAAACAGAAGAGCAGCTGCTGCCTGAAAATCTCAACCACTTTCTGGCTTTTTGGCTCAAAAGCAGCTACATTGTTATCCCTACACTGTGGTCTGAAAAAGTGTTGGTGCAGCTCGGTACCAGTTTTATTAGAAATCCCCGTGTTTGGGCATTCTATATCCATTCAGGATAATCTGAGGCAGGGTAGAAAAAGCAAAACGCAGATGTAAAATCTTCCTTTTCTCTTCCTCCTTACTATCTGTGGAATGTTAGTTTTAGAATCATTCAAAAGTGGAAACCACTTTTCTACATCCATCCTGTAAAACTCTTTTATTGTCTTATCTATTATCTTGAGCCTGCTCCTCAATTCATTAACATCATGCTTACCCTGATAGCCTTTCAACCCTTGGCTTATCAAGAATCTATCCATCTCTGCCGTAAAAATATTCAAAGACTTTGCTTCTAATGCCTTTTGAGGAAGAGATTTTCAAAGACTTTCAACCCCATGTGAAGAAAAACATCAAATTATCCTCCGAGAAAAAGCCATAAATATTCTGAGGAAAGAGTCTGAGTTATAAAATCTGCTATCTCATTGACCAGTGGCTTAGTTGGAACTTGGGTAACTTTGATGTTGAGTGGGACAAACCCTTGTTCAATAAAAAGTGCAAAAGAGCACATTAGCAGCGGATGCCATCAGTACCTATAAATGAAGCACCAATCTGGTGAAACTATAACACAAGGCCGCAAGCAGAAAAAAATGTCATTGATGGAGTTATACAATCCCACAGCCAACTCTAATATCAATGTTCTGTTGGCCTGCCCTGTTCATTCAGTTTGAAGGATGATGAACATTTAAACAACTAAAAGAAAAGAGGAACAGCTTTCATAAACACCCCTGTCCTTATACAAACAAAAACAGAAATAGCTGGAGAAAGTTAGCAGGTCTGGCAGTATCTATAAAACAAAACAAAGTCAACCTCTAGTTCTGAACCTTCTGTTCTGAAGTGTCACTGGACTCAAAACGTTACCCTGTTTTCTCTCCACAGATGCTGACAGACCTCTTGAAGTTCTCTAGCAATTTATGTTTTTGTATTTCGGATTTCCGGCATCCACGGTTCTTTATTTTATTTTCTATCCCAGTCCTCAATATTAGTAGAGTCCAGCATGTGAATGTGAAAAACAATTCTGAAGCATTTCTAACCATCTTCAACCAGATGTGCTGGGGGAATGGTCCATCTTAGTCTTTTTCTGAGTCCCCCAGCATTGCAGATGATTTGATTCACTGCATGTGATAGTAAGAAGCAACTAAACAGATTGCGTATAAGACTATGGGCCTTAACAAGATCCCAGATGTAGTGCTGAAGACATGCTTCATAACTAGCCATCGAGCTAGGTTGTTCCAGTAAAACTAAGAAAAGTAGAAAATACAGGTATATCCTATAATGAGAAGCAGAGAAAAGTCTGATTTAGCCAATTACAAACATATCAATCTATTCTCAGTGACAGATGATGTCATGTACAAAGCTTTCAAGCAGCAGTTACTTAAAGGTTCAGTTTGAGTGACTACTCAAGTCCAAAGATCATCATGGCTTTGACCCAAACATAGACATAAGAGCTCATTGCAGATATGACAGTGATATCCCTGACAGCGAGCCAGCATTAGCTCAAGTTTTCCATCAATGATACTTATTGAAATTGAACTTCATGGAAATCAGAAGGAAAGTTCTCCTTCAGTTAAAGTCATACTCAGCATCACCCAGGTGGTTGTAGCTTTCTGAAGCCACACATCTCATCCTCAGGAGCTTCTCACGTTAGTGTCCTAGATCCAAACATTTTCAGGTGCTTCAAAGATCTTCCAACATAATATCAGAAATAGGCTGATGAATGATGATTAGCCAGTGTTCAATTCCTTTACAATGTCTAGCTGATGAAGGAAGGCTTGTCTGCATCCAACAGAATCTAGATAGTATTCAGGCTTGGTCTGATAAGTAGTAATTAATGTTAGCATCAGAAAAAGTGCCAGGTAATGACCATCTCTAACAAGAGAGAAGCTAACCATCTCCCTTTGACACCATCACTACATCTCCCTTTGACACCATCACTGAAAGCCACACCAACAATATCCCATGATATCCCATGATCAGTCTGGACCTGCCACATAAATGTTCTGGCTGTAAGTTTAAGTCATTGACTGGAAGCTCCGCAATAGGTAACCCAGCTCCCAACTCCCAGAACCTCTCCACAAAGACAAGTCAGGAGTGAAATGAAATACTCTCCATTTGCTGGATGAGTGCAACTCCAACAACAGTCAAGTATAATGACCGAGATGAGAGAAGAGCACTGTGCCTCTCTCGCCCCATTATTGCACCTGTCACAATATAAATTTAGAGATAGTAGGAACTGCAGATGCTGGAGAATCCGAGACAACAAGATGCAGGGCTGGATGAACACAGCAGGCCAAGCAGCATCATAGGAGCAGAGAGGC